GACCCCAGCACATCCCCACAGCAAGGATGGAGGAGCCAGGACCCAGAGCCAGTGCAGGTGAACAAATGTATGCAGAACAGAACCATCTCCACCCTCGAGGGTTCATAATACAAGGGACTGTCCCAGACACTTACATTACTAAGAACTATTACGTGAGCGGTGCACAAAAGAACCTCCGTTTCCCGTCCTTCACGTGCCATCAGAACAGAGAAATGTCACTTTACAAGCATTCTGATATCTAACACACAGGCAAGTATAACCCACAGACTCACCACTAAATGACTCCTGATCGTTTTAATAGAGACGGTCCAAGCTGGGTTATCTTTTTTTGTGTTTTGTTTGTTTGGTGTGTTTTTTTTTAAGATGCTGCTACCTGATCTAAAACTCCATTTCCGTTTAGAGAAGGACTGAAACATAAAATAGAATGAATCCACACCACAGCTCATGTTTGCAAGACAATTTAATAGTTTCAAGTCCCTTCCAGATGAAAGGGAAATCAATTTCAAAATTCTATCATCTCTGTTTTGCACTTGTTCAAATGGTGAAGGATTTGAATGTCAGTGATGCTTTAAAATTAGAGAGGGAGATAAAACCAGAGTTTATAAAAGAACATGCTTGGCTCTGCGGTGCCATTTTCAACCTTCCAACGCGGCATGTTAATAGATTACCACTTAACAGTGAAGCAAACTAGAAGGTATTCTTTTTGGTGCCACCGACGATCCCCTTTCCCTCCAAGAAGACGGCACGCTTTACGCAGCCACGGACAAATCTCTCGGGCGCACGCTGTAATAAATGTGATACTTGTGATGGTCTGGGCCAGATACGACTGTCCCGAAGACAATGATTCTTTTTTTACTCAAGGAAATCAGTGCAGTAAATAACTTCTCTTCCCTTCGAGACAGTCGCAATGCTTGAGGCGGCTGCACCACAAAAACAAAATAACTTCACAAATGTCTCCAAACAGTCACGCTGAAAATCTAAGCCAAAGTTTCATTTAACAGCCTGTCAGCTTTTTGATGGGAAGCTAATGAATGCGGTGGCAAACAAATCCATCAAACTGAACATCAAAAGAACTGCACTTCATCCCGCCACATGAAAAAATGAAACACAACCTGCCGTCCAGCTCTTTGATCCCACCAAGCCGGACGCCACCTTCTAAGGTCCACAATGACAGCTGCACAGAAGGACCACGGACTCAGTGTCACCACAGAATGGGGAGAACACGCCAAAAGCCCAACACGTCCATCTCGCATGTGCACAAGCACCTTATTTCAATTGTTAGGCTGACTCCTATTTTTTATTATCTAGTACGTTATTTAAAAAAAAATACCAAAAAATACCAAAAAAAATATTCTAATTCTGCATTATAACCTAGATAAATCTGATGTCCAAAACTATAAAGCTGGCTAGATACAGAGCTGCAATAAGACCACAGCTTTTGAAGATGACACAGGATAGGACAGGGTTCAGATATGTTTTTTATAGAGTTACTATCAGTCATACTTGATTCAATCACCCCACAACAACATTCTTCACGTGACTCATTTTGAACACCAGTTAGTTGGACATATTTAAATGAATAAACAAAGTGTATCTGTGTGAGATAGAAAGATGGATGGATAGATAGATAGATCCCTCACCAGCACTCTGGGTATTATGTCTTCATCTTGCTTTTAAAATTCCACTGTGCCAATGTAACTGTTATAATAAAAAAATCATAATAAATAAGTTTTCAACCTCCTAAACAAAAAAAAAAAAAAAAAAGACCACAGCTTTCCACAAGGAGGTCTATGCAAAGCCCTTCAACTCTGAAAGGTCTGTGAAGACTAAGGAAGCTGGTCCTCCTTCTTCACACACTGAGAAAAATGTTGAGGATAGACGAGACCTCGCCGAGCCCTCCCCCACACCGGCACACACATGGGCACGTGGCCACTTAGAACTTCAGTCTCCTTTTCTTTGTATTTCACACTTTACCTCCCACTAATCTAAACCCACAAAAGAGCAAACTGTTGCTGTCCATTCCAATTCATGGTAGCCCTGTGTGCGTGTATTACGGTATCCCTGTATTATGACAACCTGGGCATTTCATTAGGAAATGTGGAATAAAGAGAGCCCAGATAATTTTTCCGGAAACTCTGAACATCTTTGTGATAGCCAAAGTATCTACTACAAACCATGAAATAATATCTCCTGGGGAGCTCTGGTGGCCTAGTGGCAAGGAGCTGCAACTACAATCCCAGAGGCACAGAGTTCCACAACAAAATAAAGGTAAATAATCCAATAGAAAAATGGGCACAGGATATGAACAGGCACTTCACCGAAGACGACATTCAGATGGTTAACAAACACATGAAGAACTGCTCAAAATCCCTAGCCCTAAGAGAGATGCAAATTAAAACAACTATGAGATATCATTTCACCACAGTCAAAATAGCAAAATTTAACAGAACAGCAAGCAACAAATGCTGGCGAGGTTGTGGAGAAACTGGAACCCTGATTCACTGTTGGTGGGAGCGTAAAATGGTGCAACCCCTGTGGAAAGCAGTATGGTGCTTTCTCAAAAAGTTGCAAATAGAGATACCATTTGACCCAGCAATTCCACTACTGGGAATATACCCTGAAGAGACCATAGCTGACATCCAAGCAGATATATGCACACCCATGTTCATTGCAGCTTTGTTCACAATAGCAAGGAGTTGGAAACAACCTAAGTGCCCATCAACAAACGAATGGCTAGAGAAGCTGTGGTATATTCGCACAATGGAATACTATGCTGCATTAAAAAACAAGGAACTCATGCAATATTATTCAAAATGGTTGACTCTGGAGAACATTATGCTGAGTGAAATATCCCAGTCACAAAAGGACAACTATTACATGATGCCACTGTTGTAGAATGGGACTGTCCTTGGGGTTGGGGAGAGACTGAGTAAGATGGGTTCAATAATGTATACTGCACTGAAACAGAGGAGGGAGAAAACTGTTTAAAAGAGATATATAACTAGGTATTTCTGTCATCACAGGAGACTAGAGCGAGGGCTACATGGTGGAGGGGACCTGGGGGAGGGTTTGTAAAACAATGAAAGAATCTTTTCTTTTACTTTTCCGTAATTTTTGACTCATGTACTTATAACTTGTTAGTCAAATTTGTGTCTTCTAGGTTGCAACACCCCCATGATACATCTTCAAGGATATGAACATGTACGGCCAAGCACAATCAATAAGAGTGCATCTAAATTCCAAAATCAATCTCCATAATAGTCTATGTGTTTCCTACTGCCAAAGGGGCCCTTTAGAGTAGTGAGAGAAGATCTTCACCCTGAAACCCACAGCGTCCCTTTTCAGCAGGAAGTAGCTAAGAGAATACGCCATCCCCTTTTCCTTATGAATCAGGGTGAAGTCTCTCTCAAGGAGGAGTGATAGGGAATGGCAAAGGACACACAGACAAAGAAGATTAATCAGAACTGGCTTTGACAAGCACTGTGGCATTTGGACAAGAACAAACTGGGAGGAGGGTAGAGAGAATAGTGCAACAAGGAATGAATGGAAACCCAAAATCTCTGTAAATGTTTATGAAAATTAATAAAATATAATTATAGAAAAAAAAAAGATGCTCTGCCGGGAAAAAGAGGGACAATCTCCTCCTGTACCAGTCAGATCTGATTTGACGGTACACTCACGCAAAAATAAAAAAAAATAAATAAATAAAAAAAGAAATAATATCTCCTGTTACAAAGTCCTACATGTTCCATTGTTTGAACGCACAGAGCCAGCATTAGGCTTCTGCCACAATAACGGCAGACCCAGCAAGGTGACCTCATTCCTGCTTAGTCTTTATTTTGCATTGAGTTTACATCACACACAGAGGATGCTGGACACTGTCCTTCCTTTCTACATGACCCCTAGTTGGGAAAACATTTCTACTTATTCCCAGGCAGCAGAAGAGGGCAGAAACCTCTTCTAAACTCACAGTAGATTTCTTTTATTTCAAGAATTTGTTCAAATGCTTCTTAGACTATATTTTCTGCGATTTTCTAACAACACGTGTAAATTTAACTTGCCATTCCTGAAATGAGAGTTGTCCTCTCTGAAAATCTTTTACTCAAACTCACTCCAAGGTTCCACGGGGCAAGGCTGACCTGTGCCTCACTGAACCATGTGGTGGCCAGGTCCTGGCCACATATATGCCTTGTGTGTCATTTCCTACCAAGTCTCCACCAGCTCGGCTAATCTACGAACCACGCATTTTCATTCAGCAGCTGCCCTGGCTCTGTCTGCCCCTGGGCCGGAAGGACCACAGGAGAGGCCGCAGAGCAAACAGACGCGTCATCACGCTGGCGCTAGCTAGCCTCCATCCAACGCTGCAGGGGACATAATTACGTTTAACAGAAGTCGCTTGTGAATGAAAATGCACAGTATGGGGACTAAATTAAATACACGGGGCAAGAGATGTGAAATGTTAAACTAAATTTAATGTGAAGAGACAGCTCTTGTTGAAATGTGTTCCACCTTACTACTTTACAAGAAATTTGCTATTGTTCTAAGGAGCATTTCAATCAATTCTTCTTCCTCTCCTCCCTGAACCTCTTGCCATCACCATTCGACAAGACACTTTCCAGGATAAACGGCTGTTTGCCAAGCTGGGGATCGAGTTCTAACAGGCAGAGGGGCACGTCTATTCAACACACACAATGCCGCGTGGAGCCACTGGACAAAGTGAACAAAAAGCAGCCAGTCGCCTTAAGAGAGGAAGCAGCCATCACTCCAATTTACCTCTCAGGGTAAATCGTTCCACTTCATCTCAAAATGGAAAAAAAAAAATATAAAGACCCATTGCTGCAAATGGCAACAGAGCCTCCGTAGAGTGAATACATCTAGTCTGAAATAAACGACTGTGGTCAGAGACACCCACCGGCAACGGGAACATTTAATGCTACATGTGACCTCACAGCCTACAAACCAGAACACACGTTTCTGTTTTCCGTGAAGGCATCACTTACCAATTTTGCAACTTTTCCGTAGTCAATCCATCTGACAGTGGCAAAGTTGGTCGATTCTGCGCAGTTGAAGCCGTGATTAAAGCCAGCGTGGTAGCCATAGGGGAAAGTGATCATAAATTCACCCGACTCTTGCGTGATCTGCAAAGCACAAAACAGGCAATGTGTTTCAGTTATAAAACTGACCAAACTGTGAACACAATTAAAAGCACGGCTTGTGAAATAGAAAGGAAATATTCTGTCAGAGCTGTCCTAAAATAACAGAAGTCCCCAGGTGTCTTTTACTGTGTCCAATAATAGGAAACATTTAAAAAAAAAAGTCTTTGTAAACAAAATGTCACTTTCCAGCAACACAGCTACTGAACTCATAATTAAAAACACTGTTCGACTATAGCTGCTGCTGGGCCCCATTCTGGTGGCCCCAACTCAGAGCAGCCCCCTTGCAAACCTAGTGACGCTCTGGCCGGGCTGATACCGTCAACACAATCACTGTTTCACATGGGCCCGCCGCTGTAGCCACTGGGTCAGTCTTTCTCATTGAAAATCTTCTTTCTCACTAACCTCACCAACTAAGATGTCCTTTTCTAGTGACTGGTCCAAAGTGAAACCCAGTCCTCACTTCTTTTTTTTCTTTTTAAAATTTTATTATTTTGTGTGTGTGTATCGCCAAATCAGATCTGACTGGTGGTACAGGAGGAGATTGTTCCTCCTTCTCCCGTAGAGCATCTGGTGGATTCCAACTGTGCACCTCTAGGATTACAGTGCAGCTTCTTGCCACTAGGCTACCAGAGCTCGTCACAGTCATGCTGGCTACACGTCCAAGACAAAGGTCTTCTTCCTTCTGGCAGTCAGTGGCATAGTCAATATTCTTCACTATCATTCAAAGGCTTCTTCAGGCTTTCTTATTTATTGTCCAACTTTCCCATATATAAGAGCAATGGGAAAATACAACAACGTGGGTCACGTGTGCACCTCAGTCCTGAAAGCTACTGAAAAATGCTTTTTACCTGGGCATCGACTAGGAATAGGATAAAACACAGCCCATGAAATGTAACCTTGCTCCCTGCTGTCCTACCCTGCCACTGGGTTGAACACATCGTCTGGAGGAACAGAAATTCTTCAATCATCTCCCCTGTATTCTTGTTCTATCCTGCCACGCCCTCTAATTGTAAGTGGTTTAATAATTTTAAAACTGTATTTTATTTATAACCCATTTTCCAGCCCTAGCACATGCTGCATCTGTCTGTCTGGTTGGTCCGACTGTAAATGGTCTTAATAATGCGTAAATACTGAAAACACTTGCCATCCCAAAAGACATAAAATGTCTGAAGACTGGCTGGGGCCGCCTGCCGCACCACTCATGCAGCAAGGAAAAAACACGAAGGACCAACACAAACACACACTGAGCTGTGAGAAGGCTCCAGAAAAGCCTTCTTGATTCTGTTTAAGAACAGATGAGGAAGAGGAGTAAGAATCTATCAAAATGGTTTTTAAAAACCCCACAAGTTGCAGATAAGATTCCATTAATCATTTTCTACGGCAGGAAATTCCCTTCATATTAAATCTGAGTTAAATAGTCCTGCCTGATGGTGTGAAGGGGAATAAAGGTTCCCTCATTCAATTCAGACCTAGAAGTCGTGTGTGTGTGTGTGTGTGTGTGTGTGAGAGAGAGAGAGAGAGACAGACAGACAGACAGACAGACAGAGGAAGAGAGAGAGCATGAGCACACACTGGAGAAACACTGTAAACACAGGGGCACAAAGAGTCATCCAGGCCATTTCAGTGGCGCTAAAATGCGTGAGGGGACCTTCTACCTCCACCTGCCAGGTCTAACATCTTCTCCCCAGTGGCACCGTGCAGGTGTTCTCTGGAAGTAGGTGCAGCTAAGTGGTCACCTGGGGGCTAGGTAGGGCTCCCCAGTGCTCAGCAGAGTCCCAGTTCTGTCACTGAGCTGCAGGACAGAGGCTGCTTCTCCATTCCTGGTGTTGTTGTTATTGTTGTTGTTGTTTAGGTGTCATTAAGTCAAGTCCAGCTCACTGGTCACTCTATGAACAGATGTGACCCTGTCCTACTCTGTGCCATCCTTACCACCTCTGACACACTTGAACCCTTCGCTGTATCGTCACTGTGTCAATCTATCTCACTGAGGCTGTCCTCTTTCCCTGACCCTCCACCTTTCCAAGCTGTTCCCTCTCCAAAGAACAGCCTCTCCCAGGAACACCAAAGCATGTGAGACAAAGTTTTCATCATCTTTGCCTTCAAGGAGTGTTCTGGCTGCACATTTTCAAAGACAAAACTGTTTTTCTTTTTGGAACTCCATGTGATATCCAGTACTCTCCACCACATCTCAAGGGCATCGATTCCTTCATCACCTTTATCCACTGTTCAGCTCTCAGATGCACAGTAAGATGATGTCCTGAATCAGGCACACCTTAGTCTTCAAGTTGACATCATTGCTTTTAAGTATTTTTGAGATTACCAGGACAGTGGGCTACCTGATTTCCTGACTGCTGGTACCAAGGGTGTTTGGTGGCTGTTGAGCCCAGAATAACCCACTGACAACTTCACTCCTTTATCCACGATGCTGCACATGAGCCCAGGGTTAAGGACCTTCGCTTTCCTGATGCTAGGATGTAATCCATACTGAAGGCTCTAGTCCTTGATCTTCTGCAGCAACCTCAAGTCCTCCTCATTTGCAGCAAGCAAGGTTGTGTCATCTGTGTAACTCAGGTTTTTGATGAGTCTTCTCTCCGATCATATGCCACACTCCTCTGTATGGAGTCCAGCTTCATGAATTACTTGCTGAACATACAGACAGAATAGATATGGAGAGACAACACAACCCTGATGCACACCCTTCCTGACTGTAAGCCATGCAGTGTTTCCTTGGTCCATCTGCACAACAGCGAGCACAATTAAGCATTCTAGGATTCCCCTTCTTCTCTTGTTTGTTATGATCCACACAGTCAAGTGCCTTTGCATAGTCAATAAAACACAAACAGACATTCTTCTCTTATTCTCTGTCTTCAGGCAGAGTCCACCTGACATCAGCAAGGACACCCCTCACTCCACAGCCTCTTGTGAGCCCTGCCTGAACTTCCGGCAGTTCTCTGCTCATGTACTGTTTAACTGTTTTTGGATGATTCTCAGCAATATTTTGCCTGCGTATATTAAAAACACTGTTCTATAATTCCCACATTCTGCTCGGTCACCTTTTCTAGAAATAGGAACAAATGTGGATCTCTTTCAGTTGGTGAGCCAGGCGGGCAGCTGTCCTCTAAACTTCTCAGCACAGACTGGGGAGAATGTCCAGAGTGGCATCTGTTAGTTGAATGCTATCAACTGGTATCCCATCAATCCCCGGGGCCTTGTCTTTTGCCAATGTCTTCAGCATAGCTTGAACTTCTTCCTTTATTACCACTGGCTCTTAGGGCATCTCACTATCACTGTGCCTAACTCTAGGCATCTGTCCCTGTCCCACGTAATAGAACAAAACTCGCCTGCTTCATCTCTACCACCACACTGGGGGGGTGGCACTGCCATCAGACAAGGAAGTCTCTCACTCTGCTGCCTCTCCACCTGCCCCCCCAGCCCGGCCCCGGCTCCCATAAAGTTTGTGTGAGAACCCCAAGTCCAGGGAGCCAAATCAAGAACCTAGAAACAGTCTACTTTGAACAAAGCCTCAAAAAGAAAAGAAAAAGTGCCACTTTACGTACCTAAGATTAACAAGAGGTAAAGACTTAGCTGCAAGTGCAAAGCTTCTAAGGTAGAAAACAGCAGGATTATGGGGAAAAGAGTCAAATAAAAGATGGGAAGGAACGTGGATTTCTTTTTTTAATGTTTCTGCAAGTAGCTAAATACTTAATCCTCCACAAACCGAGACAGGATTGTATTTATCTGGTCAAAGCTGCTTTCACTTCCACTTTTTCACATAAAAATGCTCATGTCGGTAATAATTCTGACTGGATGACTGTCCACCAACACAAAGAATATGTGAGAGACACAGAGAGAAAGAGAGAAGAAGAAGAAGAAGAAGAAGAAGAAGGAAAAGAGGGAAGGAAGGAAGGAGGGATAAAAGGAGCGGGGGGGAGAGAGAGAGAGAGAGAGTGAGTGTGTGTGTGTGTGTGTGTGTGTGTGGTTTTGCAAACTGAGTCTGCAGAAATACACCAATGAAATTATACTCTCTGGCTATTAAATCGCTGGGGAATTGAGCCGTAAGATCTCAGTCGCAGCCTGTGTAAATGTGCCACAGAACCACTGGTTCCAACCAACGTGGTGGCTAATAACTGCTCTGAATCCTCTCTGCAGACAGATCCCCAAACATGAATCATGTTCTTCGCGTGAAAGCCTCGTCTTTAATGTGGAGTCACTTTTTGCAGAGCTTTGAGGAATGACAGCTAACAGCATGAAATCCCTGACAAGTAAGTACAGCCAGACATCAACTTCATTTCAAATGAACATTTCAGTGATGAGCTGGTCTGTGGTAAAACAGAAATCTGGATCTTTCTGGACCTTCTCTAAAACGCCTCACTGACCTCGAGGATGCGGCCGTTGTTAGATGCCCCTGCGTCTGCTTTGACTCCTAACGACCCAGTGGACAGCCCGAGGTAGCCCTGCCTGACCTTGCACCTCCTCACGGTCTGAAGCCCACGCCCACTGCTGCAATCACTGTGTCAATCCACCTTGGCTGACCTCTGTCTGCACAAGCACAGTCGGCCCAGTCAGCCCTTGATCTCTTACACACACACACCCCAACAGCACGGTGACCTCTGACCTCGTTAGGGAGCAGATACCTTGTCAAAGGGGATGCCGTACTTCCTCAGCACAGAGGGGGAGATGAGCGTCATCTTGTGGCGGAGAAACGCTTCACATCCCTGACAGCTGCTGGGGAAAAAACCTAAACAGAAACCACACGTGTGAGCGGCACAGCCTCAATCAAACTGCTGATAACTGCTGTTCCATTTCCGTATTCTTACAGTGTTGACATTAGAGGACCACACCACCAACAAACTCAAATAATAAACTCTGGGACCCAGGCAGAGTCTGTTTTCTTCAAAATTAAGGGATACATATTCACACCACTAAAGGTTAACCTTATTTACAAGAAGGTCACAGGATTCTTTTCAGAGCATGGGAAGTAATTAAACCTCCGAGATAAACCACACTGTGATTTTACGCCACCCTGTAATGCAGCCTGCCTAGTATCTGCTAGGTGAGTGGAAAGATTACAGCCCTGGAAACGCTGTGGACCAGCTTGTCTCTGTGCCAAGCCTACGGGGAAAGCGGCACAATGGTGGTCACCTGCTCTGCGGCCACATGGGGACAGCGCGTGGGAACTGTCACTCACCTACCTCGGTGACTCACTGCACCTGAGAGTCTGATGATGTGATGTAAGAATTATAACCTAGTAGTGTGGACGTGGGTCTCAGGGATGGTTTTAAAGTAAATAAGCCTACACGGATGGCACCATGAGGTCACAGCTGATCAGGACGCCAACCCAACAGCCAGCTAGGAAAAGTCACCACAGAACAGAGGACGACCTGCAGAAGCCAGTCATTCTGCACAAGCATCCTACCTGGAGTGTCAGGGGGAGAGGGAGACGGGAACGGAGGAAAGTGCATGTCCATGAGAGCAGCAGAGACCCAGGAAGGCGAGGAGTAGCTCTGTCCTTGGGGCCTCTCGACACAGCCTTCAGGGTACAGTAATAACCGTAACACACAAACACCACAGATACGAGGCGCAAACAAGCAGCCCCATGAAAGGATATAAAGAGCTCTGGTTGTGCCATGGGTTAAGCACTGAGCTGGGCTTTTAAGAAAAGCCCTGTGGTCTCAATTCATCAGTCGCTCCAGAGAGAAAATGGAGGCAATTTGCTTCCATGAAGATTTAAAGCCTCGAGAGTCTGCGGGCGGTTCTACTCTTTTGCCCATGATGGGTTAGGACCGACTTGAGGGAAGTGAGGGCATGAAAGCACCACGTTAACCGGAGGACTGAGCCCCAGAGAGGAAGACCACATCCGGGCATCCTCCAGCACACCCCCACGAAACATTTTCATAACATAATTCAAGTGGATCTATCAAACTTTTCAAATCTGCAACTTGGTGCAGCACTAAATGAATTAAGTTTTAAATTAAAATCAAGGAAGAAAGAAGAGTCTATTTAATTTTCTTTTGATACGGATTTGTAATCAGGACCCGAACAATGTGGTGACTGGTCATAAGTTAATTTAAATTGGAAAACCAACGAAGGAAGGTAATTTGCAGTATATTAAGAACTTCATATTGGTTCAGAATCCGTATTTACAATCGGCTATCAGTATCATATCTCACCTTACTCTGGGAAACACATCATAAACAGACAAACTGAGCACAGGGCACGTGTCTCAAAATTAACTAAAACGCCTGCAGGCGTGCGTGGCCCACACCCATCCTCCTTCTGAAGCTGAGCAAAAGTATTTTATTCAACACATGAGGAAGCATGGAAACAAAACACTATTAGATACAGAAAATTGTAATCTTTTAAAACTCTTAGATGATCTAATTCAGCTAAAGAAACACTACGGTCTTTCATAACAACAAAAACTTTTTTTTTTAAATTTGTGTATGTATACCATCAAATCGGATCTGATTGGTACAGGAGGAGATTGTTCCTCCTTCTCGAGCAGAGCATCTGGTGGATTTGAACTGCGCACCTCTGGGATTGCAGTGCAGCTTCTTGCCACTAAGCCACCAGAGCTCGCAACAACAAAAACACTGTTAAAACCCACCACACCACATCTATGCTGATTCACAGCTCTTCTCCAGGACAGGGCAGAACGGCCAGTTTGCAGGGCTGTGGTTAATCCCTGAGGAGGCTGCCACAGCTTTCTCTCAGGAGAGGTGAGGGTTCAAACCAGGGACCTTTGGGATACCAGGCCCACTCCTACCCAACGTGCCACTGGGACTCTTTTCTTCCACAATAAATGCAGGCTGGGGAGAGTTTTGTAGTTATGAATGAAATGGAATCAGTTCTTATAGAAAAAGACAGCATCTAACATTCCAATGAATACTCAAGTGTCCCAAAAGTCACCATTTTTTAAAAGACACCACAGTGTGTTTAAAATTGCTGCAAAAAAAATTCATTAAATGAGAGCCATCGTTGCAAAGTGTCCTGTTTATTTTAATAGTATTCTCCTTTTCACTTTTAAACAACTTACTTCGGAAACATTCCTCTAAAAGTTATCCTACTTGGCTGCTTCTAGTACAATCACCAGCCATCCAGGTGGCTTTCTACTTAACTGGCCACACAGTGATGAGATGCCCGTGTGGTCCACAATCCCGAGGACCGAGAGGATGATGGGAATCCAGTGGTGGCACCAGCAGCTGGCACCCATGCCACCCCTCAGGTGTCCTGTGGTCACCAGGTAAGGGGCCACGGGAAGGAGAGCACCCAGGACCAGCCTGGCACCCGTTCCCGCAGGATCTTCCTACAACAGTGTCAAAGCACCTGGCTCATTTTACAAAAGCCGGAGTGCTCAGCAGTGTAAATCTGCATGAGCAAGCTGGACTTCCCCATCGAGAGCACGAATAAAGGCAGCCTTAGGGCCGGCACCTGGGGTCAGACACATAGACTCCTAACCGACTAGAAGGCGAGTAGGTTTGTCCAGACCATCTGCTTGTGGTACGTGGACCACTACAGCACTAGGTAACTGTGACAATAATGGGTTTGCCTTATATAAGATGGACATGAGGCTTTAGAAACACAGCACCCAAGGAAAAGAGCTCAGAGAAAGGACACGGAAGGACTGCTTCTGTGCGGAGTGGTTAGACGTGGACGTGTTGATTAAAGCCAGCTGGAAGGTCAGCTGTGGATCTGCTCTGACTAGCTGACACACAAACCCACAGGTAGTGGGGGGGTTGGCAATGTAGTCTGAAGTGTGCTGGGCTGCCAACCACAAGGGAGCCCATCTGTGGCAGCGTGAAGCCCCCAGAAGCTCTGAGAAGGGGAGGTGGGCAGCTTCCCCCCGTCAAGCTCTAGCAGCGAGGAAATCCCACCAAGAGTTGGGAGAACGTGGCAGCAGTAAGAGAATGGGGGGCAGCTGGCTGGCCTCTCGGGGCTTTATCATCTAGGAATGGCTCCCGCAGAGTGAGGGGAAATCGTCCCTTCTCAGGCCTCTGCTGCAAGCTCACGGTGCCCACATGAACCACAGGACAGAGCAGCGCCCATCCTGAGCCATCTCGAGGATCTGGGACCGGCGACCACAGGGCCCTCATAGAAATCTACTCAGCGTCACAGCAACATGCAGCCTCCACCGGCAGACAGATGGAGGCTGTTCACGCAGCGTGTCAGCCAGGAATGGAACAACGGTTCCCCACACGGAGGTGAGAATCCAACCACCATCAGCCCAGGACACAGCAGGTCTTCCTAACGTGACCCCATCCTTCTCTCCAGCTTTGTCAGCACTGAAAACCAAAAAGCAGGCTGCACTGCAATCCCAGAAGTAAGCGGTTCAAATCCACCAGATGCTCTGCTGGAGAACGAGGGACAATCTATTCCTGTACCAAGCAGATCCAATTTGACAGTACATACAAAAAAAAAATAATTAAAAGATTGGAGAAAAAAAAACCAGACTCAATGTCATCGAGTGCATTCAGGCAGAACTGCCCCACAAGTTCTCCAAGGCTGTAATCTTGACTGGTATGGAAGGCCTCGACTTTCTCCTTCAGAGCTGCTGGTGGGTTCGAACTCCTGACCTTTCATTTGGCAGTCAAGTGTTTAACCACTGCACCATCAGGGCTCCTTTGTCAAGACTGCCAGGCATTAAACATATACCCAAATACACTAAATTAACCCTTTGGAGTAATCAATTTTTTAATTCTATTTTTCCTAAATTCTTCTTTTTTAATAAGTCAGCAAAACTGCGGCATGTTTCTTTTTTTTTGGCATGTTTCAAAAGCAGAGCTCTGGAGAAAGGAGCTCGGTCTGACGACGCTGTCATCCTAACGAGATGCCACCGTTCTGTCCGCCTCCCAGTCGGGCAGTCCTCGTCCTCGGTCACAGATCCCTCTCCTGGCAGCCACGCTGCCCAACAGCACATCATCTCCAATTTTTCTCTTCGTATCACCATTTGCTTCACAACAGGGAGCAAATGGAATATAGCCTTTCTTAACCTACTTTAATCCATAGACTGTGTAACTTAATAGAACAGCAAAGATATTGTCTTATTTCAAAACAGATGAGATTTAGACATTTTAAAATCGGAAAACCTTCCAAAACTGCCACTCACGGTTTCGCATAAGCCCGCGGCCCTCCCTCCCTCCCTGCTTTCCGTTCAATTGCATCAAACCAAAAATCAGACCGCACGTGACGGTCTTCTAGACAAGCATGGCAAATTTTAAAGCTGCCACAATTCCCGTGAGACCTTTTTTTTATTATTATATTACATCTACATTAAATTGAGGAAAAATCCTGCGTAAATGAGAGCGCAGCTGAAGGACAACAATCAAAGTGCAGGCTTGAGGAGACGCAGCCCTGATGCCTTTCAGGTAAAATGTCTGTAGATGCCACAGTCAATCAAGATTTCCACAGGAACCGAAGAGGAGAGCGTCCATGCAGAAAAGGCAGGAGTGATAAGGAGGCTGTGAGACAAGAGAACTGAAGATGTCCGCGCCTGCCGTCAACGGCGCGGATCAACTGCTGCCCTGGCCTACGCCTTCGAGAAGACACACCATGTTTACTGTGTTATTTTATCATTTTAATTATCGAGCAGAATTCAATTAATGTGGCAGGCATCTGAGCAACAGAAGCAAAGTCTCTGCTCTCTCCTAAACTCTCTTCCCTGGTTTGCTTCTCAAGACAACGCGGTCAAAGGGTTTTGAGTTGACACGCACCTGGGTTTACAGTTCTGGTCCAGTCTGTGAGTTTACTAACGTCTCACAGGTTAACGCAGTTTTACAGAGGGTCTACATCAGATGCTGTATGTGTTAAGCTACACTATAAAGTCTACACGGCTTCCGGGATTTACAGAGTGCTTTAGGATTCTTCAGTTTGGTCCTTCTGAAGAGACCAGAAACTAAGCAAAACCTAAGTCACCAAGTAGATTCTGACTCCAAGTGACACTGCAGGTAGGGTGGACGCCGCCGCAGGCTCCCAAGGCCCGAAGTCCTCAGGAAGCAGGCTGCCCCCTCGCTCTCCTGTGGAGTGGCTGGTGGCTTCAAACCACTGCTCTTTCTGCTGGTAATCCAGCATTTAACCACGGTGCCACCAGGCTCCTTCTCTGAAGATGGACACGAAATGGGGGAAAAATTAAAGTTCTAATAAAGTATGTTTCATTTTGCCATCTCCAAAGGTGAGCAGTCATCAGTGCCTGTTACCCGAGGACCACCACCTTCGTACGTCCAAGAGAGCCACTCCCTGGAGGAAAAATGACCCAGAAACACGGACAGTTGCCCTACATGCCAAGTCTGCACCTGACGCTCGGTAAGCACTCGCTGGAACTGCATCTCAAGGCTGTTACTTACAAGAAGGCAACAACAATTTCAAACAAATTGGCAGCAATCAATATAGATTAAGTGCAATCACCTGACTAAACTACCACCTAAAATAACCACAGAGATGATGCAACAGGGAAAACAGTCACAAATTAAGGTAGGAAAATTAAAATTGTTCAATTAGAGAAATATTTAAAAGCCAACAGGTTGGAAAGAATAAAATTAACAGGGTGGCCATCTGCACTGTGAACGCCCCAGAAAGAACGAACCTATCGAGACAGGAAATACTTAAGACACATTTACCTTGAGCTAGTCTTTCAAGACGTCTGCCGTGCTCCGGGGGTATAGCGTACCTAAAATTGTAAACAGACATCAAAAATTTAGGGTGATCATTTTTTTCAGCTAATATTCTTAGTTCATATACTTATAAATAATGCAAAACAAGCAAAGTCCCAAGAATGAATTCGACTTAGATAAACTGTAGAAACTAGAAACAAAATCACAGCCATATTCTTTCAATATAACAGAAAGGGGGGAGAGAACTTAGAAGCCACTTATTTCAATGTCTCCACTTAAAAAAACAAACAAAAAAGAGAACATAAACAACAAACCTAAACACTCAACAGAACACCACCATTTTCTGAATGAAATCCATTTGGTCAGTTAAAGAGCCCAGGCCCAGGACCCAAGCACCAAGACAGTGGAGCCTCTCTCTATTACACTGATAGCACCAAAGTCTCCCCAGCTATTTTTAGTATCTGCTTTTTATTTGGTGTTTAGTTTGGCCTATGATTTCTAAGAACAGCAAGTGACCCATGTTTAAGGTTCCAGTTGTTTTTATTGACAAGATAGAATACAAAATTATATCAACAGTTCTTTTTCCACTGTCATTTTCTAGCACTTTTAAGTAAAAATTCGACTCAAATAGTCTTTATTTCATGATTATATGACTTTTAAAATCATAATTACAGTAAAAATAATTTTCACCTTTGAACAAAACAATCGTTTCTAGTTCCTGCTGTTCATAAAAGTAAATTAATTTGGCTTCCTTAATGTAAATTTGCCAACAAATTTAAAGATATGACTTACTAATACTCTCTACAAAGACTAAATATTATGGTCATTTTTAGTGAGGAAATCAAAGGACCTGGGGGAAAAGTATTAATTAGTATTTTCAACTTTAAGCCAAAACAGTGTATTAATTTTTAACATCTGCATTTACTGTGTTTGCTAGCTCAGAATATATTAAGCACAAGTTACTTTCTTACTAAAATAATTTCTCTCATTTTACTTAACACCACACTTGGTTGCATTTGGTGGCTTCGATAACATATGCAAAACTTAATTGAATCCGATGTAACCAGGCAATTCACTAAAAGAAAATTCAGCTGTATATCCTGCTCCTTAAAGCACTGTTAATGAAATTATTCCAACTGAATTTGGAAGATAAGATTTTAGCATAATTAAATGACAGTCATCCATTTATGGCTACTTCTGACCATTTTCGGAGCCCAAGTTTACAGCATCAATCAAATAAACCAGGAAATAAAAACACAGCACACAGCCTAGCCGGTCCTGGCTCACCGCCTGCCCAGGTGCATGTACCTAGCATTCACATGTGTACACGCACACGTGCACAAAAGCACACAACCACACTCCACATACACAGACCCACACGGTAAGGACATCCATGAACATAGAGTTGAGCATAAGTGCAGATATTGAAAAACGGATTCCCCCCTGAAAATTTAGCATTAAACACTCATCTGAAGCTTAACCAACTTTTCATAGAAAACTCAAGTCTGTTTCTCACCAAAATGAAAGAGGGAGAAGTAAAGTAGGATGGTCCAACTCTGACCCTCCATTTACCCCTTTTAAGATCTGAATCACACAGGTTCAAGCCCCGCCAAGCTACCTGCCTGGCTGCCCCTTCATTAACCCAGATGTATTACTGATCCTGTTTTAAGTAACATTTACACCATATGCTCACACCTTTTACAGCTTGGGGCGACTGAATCACAGTGCACGCAACCGGGCAAAGATGCGGGGGGAAAAGAACGTGTGAACTTGGAAGAAAACGAAGGGGGCCTGTAAGCGGCTGTCTTCTCTCCTAATGACCAGGTCAATTAGCTGCAGCAGCCTCGGCCCCCTGCCTCCGTCAACCCTCCACTTCCATCAAAGCTTCCTTGTCCCACACGCACACCCTGGGCTCCTCTTCTTGCCCTGCTTTCTCTCCACTCTCCAGATAAAGCACAGAAATACCAGTGACTGTGAAGGGCTAACTGTCCTCAGGACAGACACATGTACTTGGGCTCCGGACGTCTTAAATGGCACGTGGGAAAAGGGGAAAGTGTCATGTACATATATACACACAGGTATATAGAATCTCCTAAAATGTATCTCCATCAATGTGGCTGCCAGCACAGGAAACACCACCTAGCCCCTTCATAAAAAGGAAAACACATCAAGAGGACAACTCAGCTCACCAAAGGTCACCAATGTCTAAGGCTACGTTGATATTCTTTATCAAATATATGTTTATCAATCAAAGCCACTGTTGGATCATAGCTGAAACTGAATGCCCAAAATGACAGCAGGTGACTTGGGGAGGGGGGCTGTTAGGGTCCATAAAAGAAACCTTTCCTAATTTTAGGGAGTGTGTGGTACTGTTTCTAAGGTAACACCTAAACTATTGTTAATTTCCCTTCCGCATACTACTGCCTCATGGCCAGGAGTCCCTGGAGGGAGCAAACAGAGCACTCTACTCAAAAGGTGGGCATTTCAAATCTACCCAGTGGCACCACAGGACAGGAAGGAAATCTGCTTCGGAGAAGTCACAGCCCTGAGAAACTTCCAAGTCAGTTCTAATCTGCACTCAAATGAGAACAAACTGACTTGACAGCGACTTCAGAGACGCAATTCTCAACAATTTCTTTAACTGAAATGATATAATACTTATTAGCTGCCTTGCCCCAGTCCCTCCAGCACTTAGGTGTGCCTCAGGCACGCTGCCGGTTCCCCTCCTCCCTCTGGGCTTGGTCCCCATGCCCCCTCACTTCCACTGCAACAGCATCCTGTTTCTACCACCCGCAATAAAACTGACTGGACAAAGCTTGTCACCTTTTCTACCTTGGCTTCTCTGGAATTTCTGTACTAGCTCCTTGAAACCATCGCTTCCCTTGGGTTTCATAACCCAACTCCTTTCCAAGGATCTTCCAACTGCTGTTACTGCTGAACTGAATACTGAGGTTCCTCAGGGTTCCACACTTTAGTTCCGCCATGTTTTCCTGAGAATCTCTCTACCCAAGCTCAAGGTCACCCACGTGCTTCCCAGAGAAGCTGGTCAGGCAAGAAGCCATTTGGTGAGGGATTAGGTCATGGGCATTCTATGTTTGAGGAGCCCCAAGAGGAACTGTTCAACAGCTGGAGGGATTTAGAGGTTCTCATTTGAAGAAAGACACAGGGAAAGGTGCCCCCCACATGGCATTCCCGTTTGGCCAACTCCCCAGGACTGCAGGGGTTCGCTGTGGTTACACTTCATACCCCCACCAATCTCTACTTGTACCGAGTTCTACCTTTCTCGTGTTCCCAGCAGATCACGTGATTCTGTCCCTCTCTCTCCCCACGGCCACCACCTGGTCCAGGCTATTTCTGCTTCACATCTCACCAGGTCCCAGCCCAGATTCTACTTCCTTGAGAAGCTTTGTCTGACCATTACACATTTTCACAATCTCAGCCCTTTTCTTCTTTCCCAACTCCTTCCTCTATTTTTTTCACGGATGTTGTTGTTGTTGTTATGTGCCGTCGAGTCGCTTGCGACTCATAGCGACCCTATGTACAACAGCCCTAAACTCTGCTCTGTCCTGTGCCAATTGCACTGTCTCTGACACTCCCATCCCAATTATCCCAGTCACTAAATCAATCCACCTCATAGAGGGCCTTCCCCTCCTGCGCCATCCCTCCACCCTCCCAGGCATTATGTCCTTCTCCAAGGACCTGTCTCTCCTCACAACATGTCCAAAGTATGTTAGACGGAGCCTCAGAATCCTTGCCTCCAAGGAGCCACCCGGTTTAACCCTTTCCAGGACAAATCTGTTTGTTTTCCTAGCAGTCCCTGGTATTCTCAATACTCTTCTCCAGCACCACAGCTCAAAGGCATCAATTCTCCTTCTATCCTCCTTGGTCATTGTCCAACTCTCTGATGCATAACAAGTGATTGCGAAGACCATGGCCTGTATCAGACGCGCCTTGGTCTCCAGAGAGACACCATTGCTCTTCAGTACTTTGGAGAGGTCCCTAACAGCAGACTTTCCCATGGCAATGTGCCTTTTAATTTCCTGGCTGCTGGTGCCAAGACTGTTGACTACGGAGCCAAGCAAGCTAAAGCTGTGTACAATCTCAATCTCTTCACCATCCACTCTGATGCTGCCAATTGGTCCAGTGGTGAGAATCTCTGTCTTCTTGACATTGAGCCTCAATTCATATTGTAGGCTGCAGTCCTTGACACTCTGCAGCAGGCGCTTCAGGTCTTCTTCAGTTTCAGCAAGCAGGGTTGTGTCATCCGCATAACACAGGTTGTTGATAAATCGTCCACCAATCTTGACCCCACATTTCTCCTCATAGAGCCCAGCCTCCCGGATAATATGTTCTGCATATAGGTTGAAAAGGTATGGAGATAGGATGCATCTCTGGCATACGCCCTTCCCAATTTTGAACCATTCAGTGTTCCCTTGCTCTGTTCTGACGACTGCCTCCTGGTCTAAGTATAAGTTTCGCATTAGCACGATCAAGTGTTCTGGGATTCCCATTCTTCTCAGAGTCAGCCATAGTTTGTTATGATCTACACAGTCAAATGCCTTTGCATAATCAATGAAACACAGATAGACATTCTTCTGGTATTCTCTGCTTTCAGCCAAGATCCATCTAACATCAGCTACAATATCCCTAGTACCACGACCCCTTCTAAACTCAGCCTGGACTTCTGGCAGTTCTCTGTTGATGTGCTGATCCAGTCGGTTTTGGATAATCTTCAGTAAAATCTTGCTTGCATGTGAAATCAGTGAGATTGTTCTGTAGTTTCCACATTCTGTTGGGTCACCTTTCTTTGGGATAGGAACAAGTATCGATCTCTTCTAGTCAGTTGGCCAAGTGGTCGTTCTCCAGATTTCTTGGCACAACTTGGTGAGCACGTCCAGGGCAGCATCTGTTAACTGAAATATGGCAATTGGTATACCATCTATTCCTGGAGCCTTATTTTTTGCCATTTCCTTCAAAGCAGCCTGAACTTCTTCTTTCATCATTTCTTCTTTTTTCACGGATAGGCGTCATTTTCTGCTTTTCACATAGCAAGCTG